TAAAAACATTGTGAAAATGTATTTTTTCTGTATTCGTCACAGTATTTTCTGAATTATGGAGTGATAAAAAGAGAAATCCAAAATCCCCTCAGTAAAAACCTTTAACTCTAATATGTCAACAAAATCAAGCAAGAATTTCGAACCTGGCTTTATCCAGTATTCAGATTTATTTTCTGGAAATGTGTGCGAATTTGCAAATTTGCATGCAAAATGCAATATTTTTTTTGGAAAATTCTAAAAAATGTTTCAAAAAACCAATCAATCAACTGGGGAAGTATGGTGATATTTACTAGTCATTTTTTACCCTATTCACCTGTGGTTTCTTGCCTTATATATTCATTGTTTTGTGTTGTGTAACTGAAAGAACATCTAACACCTGATGTCTCAGAGTCTGTAGGAGGTGCTGTAACGGTGACGCCCTTCAAACAAGTGGGTCTGGACTTCCAGGTGGTCAATGTGGAACTGCACTGTAAGGTGGAGCGGGGAACGTTTCCACAGTACAGCTGGTTCCTCAACGACACTTAAAGTCAATGTTTTCTCAAAATGGGTTTGTTTCTCCACTTCAGCAGCTCTTACAAACACCAAAACTTACAGTTTTATTCCTCTCTGTAATCTGAAGGTTTTTACTGAGGGGTTTGTTCATATTTAATTCACGCTGATTTATACAACATTTTATTCCTAAAAACATTGTGAAAATTTATTTTTTCTGTATTCGTCACAGTATTTTCTGATTTATGGAGTGATAAAAAGAGAAATCCAAAATCCCCTCAGTAAAAACCTTTAACTCTAATATGTCAACAAAATCAAGCAAGAATTTCGAACCTGGCTTTATCCAGTATTCAGATTTATTTTCTGGAAATGTGTGCGAATTTGCAAATTTGCATGCAAAATGCAATATTTTTTTTGGAAAATTCTAAAAAATGTTTCAAAAAACCAATCAATCAACTGGGGAAGTATGGTGATATTTACTAGTCATTTTTTACCCTATTCACCTGTGGTTTCTTGCCTTATATATTCATTGTTTTGTGTTGTGTAACTGAAAGAACATCTAACACCTGATGTCTCAGAGTCTGTAGGAGGTGCTGTAACGGTGACGCCCTTCAAACAAGTGGGTCTGGACTTCCAGGTGGTCAATGTGGAACTGCACTGTAAGGTGGAGCGGGGAACGTTTCCACAGTACAGCTGGTTCCTCAACGACAGCAGGCTGCTGGGCCAAGGAGGTTTCTACGCAGACAAATTCGTTCTGTCTCTGTCTGTAGGCCGAGACAGCGCTGGATTCTACCACTGCCAAGCTTCAGACAGATTCGACAACAGCACCAGCATCCGCAGCCCAAAGATGCTGATCAGTAAAGAGGGTACAGAAGCCTGACACCAAACACTACACTGAATCACTTTAGAAAGGGGATTTTTTTAAAAGGAAGAATTAATATATGATCAAATAGTCAAATAGCTGCTGCTCTCCCTGTTATGAAGAGTCTGGGCTAATTTATATGCATTCAATCATATGATGTTTCTAAATATTAGTGCTGTCAAAAGATTAATCACGATTAATTGCATCCAAAATAAAAGTGTTTGTTTTCATAATATACTGTATGTGTGTGTTCTGTGTATATTTATTATGTATATATAAATACACATGCAGTATATGTTTTGAAAATATTTACATGTATTTACATGTCTACGTTTATATTTATATAATTTATATTATAAATAAATATATTTAATATATAAACA